CTTGCAGCACCGGGGTCCTTGGTTTGAATCCTGGACATGATGCTATTTGCAAGGAGTTTGCATGTTCTCCCTGTGCCTGCGTGGGTTTCCTCCGGGTCCTCCGGTTTCCTCCTACACTAAAAGACATGCTGGTAGGTTAACTGGCTCCTGTCTAATATTGGCCCTAGTATTATTATTATTATACAGTATTTATATAGAGCCAAAGGGTTTGCTCAGCGCTGTACAGTAGCGAGGGGGACAGAAGATGAGACAAGACAGTAACAATACAATACACGAGGGGTTCGAGGGCCCTGCTCTTTGGAGCTTACAATCTAGGAGGGAGGGGAAGGTGGCACAGGAGGAGATGGCTGTGGGGGATGGAGTGGTGGGAGGAGTGGAGGAGGTTAGTTGTTAGGTGAGGTCAGGTGTTAGGTGAGGTTGGGGTAGGCATCCCTGAAGAGGAGGGTTTTCAGGGTGCGCCTGAAGGTGAGGAGGGTAGGTGACAGTCTGATGGATTGGGGTAGGGAGTTCCAGAGGATGGGGGAAGTCCTGCAGAAGTCCTGCTATCAGGGGCGAGGGGAGACCAGGGAGCTAGAGAGTAGGAGGTCCTGTGAGGAGCGGAGGGCACGGGTAGGGTAGTATTTGATGGTATGTGTATGTATGTGAAATAGGGACTTTAGATTGTAAGCTCCTAGGGGCAGGGGCTGATGTGAATGTACAATATGTAAAGTGCTACATAAATTAACCTCTTGGCACCGGACCGAACGCAACTGTGCGGCCTCCTAGCGTCTGGGCCTAGACGCCGAGCGGCCGCACATTTGTATTCTTTAAAAAGACACATATGTGCTGAGAGCGTGCATCCTGTGCGCTCCCAGCACACATGTCCGGTACTCACGGAAAGGTCCCGATCTCCTCTTTCGACCGGGACCTTTCCTTATCATGTGACCGCCGTGACAGCGAATCAGGGCGGACACATGATCCTAAAACCCCGCCTCCCGCCTTCTGGAATCCTTAAAGGGCCGGGAGGCACAGCACACCAAGGGGTTAAGAATGACACACCAGTACACCTGCACTTAAAGTGGCACTTCACTCTCTCCACCAACATTGAGCCCCGGTTCACATATATGCGGCCATGTGCGGGCCACGTTTTGCACGGCCATGAGAGCCCATTTGTTTGAATGTACTCCTGTGCCCGGGACACGCAGAGAGGTCCCTGCACTTCTTCTGAATATGCAGCCCACACGGGAACCCCAGTTCCCAATACGGTTGCGTTTTCCAGTGCGGGGGCGTGCCATTAGAACTAATTAGCACCGCCTACGGGTCCGCATTCCTCTATGCGGGAGCATTTTTGTGGATCCTCACCGGCACCACCCACACAGATGTGAATCTAGCCTGACTCTTTTTAATCCTTATGCTGCTACAATTAGTATAAAGACTAGGAAGGTAGATTAACCCCTCACCCTCCAGAGGGACCCCCCCCCCCCCTTCCTGACCAGGCCATTCTTTGTGTTACGGCGCTGCGTTACTTTAATCTGACAATTGTGCGGTCATGCAACGTTGCAGCCAAATGTGAATTTACGGACTTTTTTTCCCACGAATTGAGCTTTCTTTCAGTGGTATTTGATCACCTCTGCGGTTTTTTTTTCTTGCGCTATAAATGAAAAAATAAATTACAATGTTGAGAGAAAAAACAATATTTCTGGCTTTTTGCTATAAAACTTGTCCAGTAAAAAAATTTAAAATATCAAATTTCGTCATAAATTTAGGCCAAAATGTATTCTGCGACTAAAAAAATTCCCAATACGTGTAAATTAATTGGTTTACGTGAAAGTTATAGTGTCTACAAATTTCATTACAGATACTGGGATTTTTATTTTTATACTTCTAATGGCGGCGATCAACAACTTATAGCAGGACTGTGGTGGGCATTCTGACACTGGGGGGGGGGGGAACTGACAAACTGTCACTGACATCCCCAGTGACACCAATACAGTGATCAGTGCTAATAAAAAGCACTGACACTGTACTAATGGACACTGGGCAGGAAGGGGTTAACATCTGGGGCGATCAAAGGGTTAACTGTGTGTGTATGTTTTACTGTGTAAGCATGCTGCTGTGCAGAGCCATACAAAGCAGCATGCTGGTGCTGACAGGGGAGAGATCTGTATTGTTTACATACAGACCTCTCCCTTCAGTGTTCCTCTGCGATCGCTGGGTGCTGTTAGGGAATCTCCCCCGGTAATCGACAGCTGTAGCGGCGCTGTGGCGGCGCAGGTAGGGGGTGTGCATGCGCCCCCTACCTTGAAATACAAGATCACATAATACATGATATATATGTGATTTTGCAGCAGCCCTGCCGCCCTGTGGCAGTATTTCTGCTATAGGGCAATCAGGAAGCAGTTAAATTTATTTGTTTTAAACTTTTTTTTACATTTCTGCAGTTACTTCCTGGTTTCCATGCCTAGGCAAATGATGTCACAAATCCTAGGAGCCTTCAGGAGGGGAGGGAGGGTTCTCAGCTCAGCCAATACCTGAGCTAAGGGCAGATAGATTCCAGGAAGTAAATGCTACATGAATCATCTGCCCTTACTCAAGATGGCTATGGCTAGAAATGCCAGGACGGTGTTTTTCAAAATGATTTTTCAGCAAAATAAAGCATGGAGACATGGATGGATGGATGGATGGGTGGCTGTATTTGCTTTGAATAATAAAAATGAATTAAATAGCATCTTTTGGATTGTGGCGCTCAGGTGAAGAGCAGTTCCACTTGAATACAGTTGTATTAGGTCAATTATGTCACAAAAGTCCCCACCCCCTTTTTATACATATCCCCATCCTTGTCTGCCTGCTCATTGGCTCCAGGACTGACAGACACCTTCTAGGTTCAGTTGAACCCAAGTTCATTGCTTTGCCATGCCATCTCAATATCTACAGAACAGAAGCAGGTAAGGATCTGCAATGACACTTACTTGGTTCCTTGCAATGTAGATGGCTAACCAAGGGGGGGGGGGTCGTATTTTTTTTATTTTTTAACAAAACTGACATTAGTACTAATCAGGGGCGGACTGACCATTTGAGCACTAGGGCACTGCCCGAGGGCCCGGGGTCAGTAGGGGGCCCCATGAGATGCCCCTGGTACCTTTCATTGGCTTTTTCATAGGCTTTTTTGGTTTGGGCAAGGACACAGGGGCCCCATGATCCCCTATTGCCCGGGGGCCCCATGAGTTGTCAGTCCGCCCCTGGTAATAACCTGTGCTCAGCTATTTCAGATATGTTCACACTGCTATGATGGTGGTTGTGACGCATTTTGATTACCAATTATCTCCAAGTAATGCACATTTTCAATCAAAGCACATTTAGAATGCTGCTAGAAACATAGGAGCACCTATTAAAGTGAGTATAAAGGATAAAAAAAGAAAAAACAGGTTATATTTACCTGCTCTGTCTTAATGGGTTTGCACAGAGCAGCCCCAATCCTCCTCTTCTGGGGTCCCTTGCCGATGTACTGGCATTCTCGGCTCCTCCCCCCTGCCGAGTGCCCTCATGGCAAGCCACTTGTTATGGGGCCACTTGTGTAGGCTGGTGAGCAGTATGAGCTTGTGCATTGTCCTGGAGAAACAAGACTCCCTTAGTAATGTGCAATTTCAGGACAGGTTCTGATGATCCAGGATCAAGCGTTCCCCGCGCTGAATGTTTCCCAGGAATGACGCTGTGGGCCGGGAAACCGCCACGGCCGGGATGGTCACTGACAGACGTACGGCCATCTTTGAAACGTTTACACCATTCAATGTTCTTACTGCGGCTGAGCATCTCATCACCGCACTGCGCTTGAAGTCTTCTGTAGATATCCACAGGTTTTACGCCTTTGTTACCACACACTGTTCCATACACGCACTCACACTGTCGTCTGCCATCTTGATTATCGGTTTCTGGACTGGCCCGCCTATAAGTAATAGGACACACTGGCCACTTACTACTGCGTGTAGTACCACCACACTATCATCCCTTTTTATACCTGGAAAATTAAATGTCCCGATTTGACATAAACGCCCCTCATATTATCACAGTATTATTATAAGGTATTATTATGTATTGCTATAAATCAGAGGTCTCCAAACTGTGGCCCAAGGGTATGGCCCCGGATATGGCCCTTGGCTACCCTTTAACTGGCCCTTGGGACACTATTCCTCCCACTGAGACCAACAATGGGGCAGTACTTCTACCATTGAAACCAATGATGGGGCACTATTCTTCCCACTAGTACCACTGATAGGGCACCACTCCTCCTACTGACCATCAACCCTGCGCCCATATTTATTCTCACTGATGATCGGGTCAGGACATTTTCTGTCCTCGGTGACCCTAATCCGGCCCTCCTAAAGTCTGAAGGACAGTATACTGGCCCTTTGTTTGAAAAGTTTGGAGACCTCTTCTATAAAGTATTATTACATATTATTGGAATGTATTATTATGTACTATTGTTATTACATGATTATATATTATTACATTATATAATTCTATATTATATTATTATTGGAATGTATTATTATGACATGATTACCTTATTTTTCGCTCCATAAGACGCACCTAGGAAAACAAGAAAAAAAAATATTCTGAACCAATGGACTGCAGACATAGTACAGGAAATGACCAGGGACTGCGGATGTACTACAGGAGATGACCAGAGACTGCGGACACAGTACAGTACAGGAGATGACTACCAGAGACTGCGGACACAGTACAGGAGATGACCAGAGACTGCGGACATAGTACAGGAGATGACCAGAGACTGCGGACACAGTACAGGAGATGACCAGAGACTGCGGACACAGTACAGGAGATGACCAGAGACTGCGGACATAGTACAGGAGATGACCAGAGCCTGCGGACATAGTATAGGAGATGACCAGAGACTGCAGACACAGTACAGGAGATGACCAGAACCTGCAGACATAGGACAGGAGATGACCAGAGCCTGCGGACATAGTATAGGAGATGACCAGAGACTGCGGACACAGTACAGGAGATGACCAGAGACTGCGGACACAGTACAGGAGATGACCAGAGCCTGCGGACACAGTACAGGAGATGACCAGAGCCTGCGGACATAGTATAGGAGATGACCAGAGACTGCGGACACAGTACAGGAGATGACCAGAGACTGCGGACACAGTACAGGAGATGACCAGAGACTGCGGACATAGTACAGGAGATGACCAGAGACTGCGGACATAGTACAGGAGATGACCAGAGACTGCGGACACAGTACAGGAGATGACCAGAGCCTGCGGACACAGTACAGGAGATGACCAGAGACTGCAGACACAGTACAGTAGATGACCAGAGACTGCGGACACAGTACAGGAGATGACCAGAGACTGCGGACATAGTACAGGAGATGACCAGAGACTGCGGACAGTACAGGAGATGACCAGAGACTGCGGACAGTACAGGAGATGACCAGAGACTGTGGACATTGTACAGGAGATGACCAGAGACTGTGGACATAGTACAGGAGATGACCAGAGACTGCGAACAGTACAGGGGATGACCAGAGACTCCAGACCTTTGGGGAGCAGGTACTCGAATTTGACAGGTCGCCTAGGCGATCGGAAGCGAAAGTTGTCCTTCCTCCCTCCCATAGTCTTCTGTGACATGTAACCGGTCCCAGAAGACTACGGGGCCATTCACAAAGTGCAGCGCTTCTCGCGCATGCACAGTGGGCACCCGGCTGTGAAGCTGCAAGCTGTCACAGCCAGATGCCCACACTGAAAATGCCGGCGTTGGGGAGAGAAGACAGATGGTGAAACCAGTGGTGATGAGGACACCTCTGGATCGTGGAACAGGTAGGACCAAGGATTAGGTTCTGCTGCACAATAAAGCTGAGCGGCTGGCCCGGTATTCTAACACAACGGGGGGGAATACCGGACCGGCCGCTCCATATTCGCTCCATAAGACGTACAGACATTTTTCCCCATTTTTTGGGGGGGGGAAAAGTGCATCTTATGGAGCGAGAAATATGGTATATATTATTACATTATAAAATGACATATTAATATATTGAAACAATCTATAAATAAGTGCCGTGCTACTTAAAGAATGCAATGTAATCCCATATGTGCAACCTTCATTATAAAGTGCCTCTGCAATTGCTCATATAGCTATTTATAAAGTACATATACCATTACAATGTATACATAAACAATATGTGACAAAGAAAGTCCTTGTATGACAAAGAAAGTCCTTGTATGACAGATATGTATCAATTCTTCTAAATAAAGTTGCTCAATTCCTGTAGATATTGTGCTCCTTCCTACTATGGGCAAACAGGTAGTTCTGGGATGATTCCTCACTGTTCTCATGATCATTGACACTCCACGAGGTGAGATCTTGCATGGTGCACCAGACCTAGGGAGACTGACACTTGTTTTGTGTTTCTTCCATTTGTGAATGATTGCACCAACTGTTGTCACCTTCTCACCAAGCTGCTTGGCCATAGTTTGGTAGCCCAGTCCAGCCTTGTGTAGGTCTACAATCTTGTCCCTGACATCCTTGGACAGCTCTTTGGTCTTTGCCATGGTGGAGAGTTTGGAATCTGATTGCTCCTGTGGACAGGTGTCTTTTATACAGGTAACAAAATGAGATTAGCAGCACTCCCTTTAAGAGACTGCTTCTAATCTCAGCTTGTTACCTGTATGAAAGACACCTGGTAGCCAGAAATCCTGCTGAATGATAGGGGATCAAATACTTATTTCCCTCATGAACATGCAGATCAGTCATCATTTGTTAGACGCATTTCTGCTGAATTTGTTGTTGCTATTCTGTCTCTCAGTGTTACAATACACCGAACATTCGATTTTTAGACCGATCATTTCTTTGTGAGTGGGCAAACATTCAAAATCAGCAGGGGATCAAATACGCATTTCCTTCACTGTATGTACTCTCACCTTCTTAATTTGACCTATATGTATTGCGGTCAAACAGCGTTTTTCCCTTTTAACCCGGGTAGGTACAATTCCTTTTATTACTCCACTCTTCCCCAGAATGGTCTTCTTATTTATTATCCAACAATCCACCGAACATGTGGAAAAAAAACACCCATCATAGTGTATCGCTTATAACAACCACTATTTATTAAAAGATTGAGTGCACTGACATAAAAAGTGTCCAAACTGGAACACTACAGTTGAAAAGCTTCCACAGAGAATACATCTAGCCTTTTCTGGCGCTCACAAAATGGCAGCTCACAAACTTCCGGTCATGCGGCTTGACGCCATTGGCCCACCCTACGCGTTACGTCACAACACTTGACTTCATCAGGAGTGGCCATTGGATGTCCTCCCGCTGGTTTTATAGCAAACTCCATAATTATTGTTCTGGTAAGAAACAACACTGATAAGACATGCGCCATTTTCCTGTAGCTCAGGTTCCTGTCACAATACATCGGACACCGTTTTACTATAGCCCACAATGTGTGGATATTCCAGCGTTTGCCGGCTCATCTTGTGAGAACCAATACAAATGAAGTCAAATTCAATAGAGTTGTCAACTCTATTTAATTTAACTTCATTTGTATTGACAATAGAGTTGACCATACCATTAACTTACCCCCCACCCCCAGTAGGGAAACTAGCATAAATATACCCCAATATGAAAACTGAATTAATTACCACATTAAATAAGTATGTTCTACAAGCCATTTATACAATATATAGCTATAATGGTGTGTGTATACTATATCTAAGACATAGGCATTCCCCTGTATTGAATCCCCATCTCATGCCTAATGATAGACAGATATTTAGAAATTCTCTATAAAACCATGTCAAAATCCACATTTAACCCTTGGGGTACCAATGTTTGTAAATTAAAAATCCATTTGGATTTTTTCTAAGGGTCCTGGTTTTATGACTACCCCTCCAATGTGGTTTGTATTTTTTTATTCCCGAAAATTGAAGTCCTGTTGGATCTTTGGTATGGTGCGTTGCAAAATGTTTGGGAAGGTTATGTTTTGTACACCCTTTCAGGATGTTACTAATATTTTCTTGTATTCTTTTGGCCAACATTCTTTTAGTCCTGCCGACATATTGTAAACCACATTCACATTCTATGCAGTACACTACTCCTTCTGTTCTACATGTAGTGCAATGTCGAATATCGTACTGTTGCCCCGCGCTGTAAGCTGTAAAATGATTTTCTTCTGCTTAAATTATTTTTCATGCTCCGACATCCGACATTCACCGCATCTACCACATGCAAAGAAACCTTTTTCATTGAAAAAATAAACTTTATTATTGTTGTTGGGTGGATCCACCACATTCCTCACCAATCTATATTTAAGACTGGGTGCTCTTCTATAAATACATTTCGGTGTCATATGTAGTGTACTGCCCAGCCATGTATCCATTATTAGAATCCCCCAATGCTTCTCTATGATCTTTTCTATTTTTTTCTATTGTTAATTGTAATCTAATAGTATTGCTACTGAGTGATCTTTCTTATTCCCCTTTCTTTCTTTATTCTGGATTAGATCCTGCCTATCCATCCTCTCTACCTGCTGCTTTTCATCTTCTATATATTCCTTCCCATATCCTTCTTCAATAAACAGATCTCCATTTCAGATTGCTTCCTTGATATAGTCTCCTCTTTCAGTGCAATTTCTTTTTGCTCTCATAAATTGTCCTGTTGGGATATTCATCAACCACATGATATGATGACAACTGTCCATCGTGATGTAACTATTTTTGTCTGCAGGTTTGAAGCATGTTTTGAGTTATAACACCGTTTTCCTGTATTGATATAATGAGGTCCAAAAAATGTATGGGCTTTGTATTGATATTCTTCTGGTTGTTGTTCATCTTTACTTTGAATTCTTCCAAGCTTCTCAGGCTGCCCTTCCGTATCACTATAATGTCTTCAATAAATCGACGGTATAAAATTAATTCCTGCAATTTCTATTCAAATATTACCTGATCCTCCCATCTTGCCATGAATAAATTTGCAATTCTGGGGGCAAACTTTGCCCCCATCAAAATGTAAATTTTTTGTTTGTACTATTATTATTACATGATTACATATTATTACATTATATAATTATATATTATTAGTATTGAAATGTATTATTATGTACTAGTATTATATAATATTATTATATGATTGTACATTATTACATTATATATTATATTATTATTATTATTATTGGACTGTATTATATAATATTATTATATGATTTACATTATTATTATATATTATATTATTATGATGTATTATTATGTATATTATATTATTATTATATATTGTATATTATTATATTATATTATATTATTATTGGAATGTATTATTATGTACTAGTATTATATAATATTATTATTGTATGATTGTACATTATTACGTTATATATTATTACATTATATATTATATTATTATTGGACTGTATTATTATGCACTATTATTATATATATTGTTATTATATGATTGTATATTATTATATTATATAAATTATATTAATATTGGAATGTATTATTATGTACTAGTATTATATGATTGTATATTATTACATTATATATTATTATTGGAATGTATTATTATATATATATTTTTATATGATTATATATTATTATATTATTATTGGAATGTATTAATATGTACTATTATTATAATATGATTATATATTATTACATTATATATTATTATTGTATTTTAATAATATGTACTATTATTCTTGCATGATTATATGTTATTACATTCAGGGGCGGACTGACAACTCATGGGGCCCCCGGGCAATAGGGGATCATGGGGCCCGTGTCCTTGCCCAAACTCAAAAAAGTCTATGAAAAAGGCACCAGGGGCATCTCATGGGGCCCCCTACTGACCCGGGCCCTCAGGCAGTGCCCGAGTTTCCAAATGGTCAGTCCGCCCCTGATTACATTATATATATAATGTATTATTATGTACTATTAAATATATATTATTACATTATATATTTATATATTGTAATATTATTGAAATGTATTATTATGTATATTATATATATATATATATATTTTATTGGAATGTATTGTTATGTATATATATATATATATATATTTTATTGGAATGTATTGTTATGTACTGTTGTTTTATATATATTATTAATTATATATCATTATTATGTACTATTATATTATATATAAGGTATAATTTATTTAAAAACATATTTTCATATATTATTATTATACAGTATTTATATAGCGCCAGAAAGGTTTGCTCAGCGCATGTATTGTATATTATTATAAAGTATTGTCACAAATTGAAGTGTTTTATAATTATAATAAAGAATTCCATATTATTAGGAGGAGATCAGCCCGGTGAAGCCCTCGGTGGAGGGGAGACTCTGCTGTCCGGTGGACAGGGATGATCACCATCCATCACCCTCCCAGACCTGCACGCGGTAACTGCCGGCAGAAGGTTAAATCCCGCACTAACAGGTGGAGCCAATCAGCGCTTGGAAACCAGGAAGGGGGGCGGCACCGTGTGTCATATGTACGGAGGGCGGGGCGGGGCTGTACCACGTGGATGCGGGGCAGAAGACCGAGCATGCGCGACGTACGGAGCCGCTGAGTAGCCGTTCTGTTTCCATGGTAACAGAACGCCCTGGTAACCCGGCCTAAACACGGCCTGAGAGAGATGAGCCCCCGGATAGAGGAGGTGGCGGCTTCCCTCATCAGAGAGTTCCTCAGCAGGAAGGTGAGCGCTCTGTGTCTGTCATGTAGAGGGCCCGGGAGCTCTTGTATGTATTGTGGGTGTGTGTCTGAGCCCAGCCTACACAGCGACTGGATATGTCAAATCCCAGCATGCCCTGGGACACTCCTCGGGAGAATGTCAAATCCCAGCATGCCCTGGGACACTCCTCGGAGAGAACGTCAAATCCCAGCATGCCCTGGGACACTCCTCGGGGGAACGTCAAATCCCAGCATGCCCTGGGACGCTCCTCGGGGGAGAACGTCAAATCCCAGCATGCCCTGGGACGCTCCTCGGGGGAACGTCAAATCCCAGCATGCCCTGGGACGCTCCTCGGGGGAGAACGTCAAATCCCAGCATGCCCTGGGACGCTCCTCGGGGGAGAACGTCAAATCCCAGCATGCCCTGGGACGCTCCTCGGGGGAGAACGTCAAATCCCAGCATGCCCTGGGACGCTCCTCGGGAGAACGTCAAATCCCAGCATGCCCTGGGACGCTCCTCAGCTGGAGACCTTTGGGGAATGTCAAATCCCATGCCCATGCCCTGGGACGCTCCTTTGGGGAATGTCAAATCCCAGCATGCCCTGGGACACTCCTTGGGGGGTCAAATCCCAGCATGCCCTGGGACGCTGGAGAACGTCAAATCCCAGCATGCCTTGGGACGCTCCGCGGGAGAACGTCAAATCCCAGCATGCCCTGGGACACTCCTCAGCTGGAGCCTAAAATCCCAGCATGCCCTGGGACACTCCTTTGGGGAATGTCAAATCCCAGCATGCCCTGGGACGCTCCTTTGGGGAATGTCAAATCCCAGCATGCCCTGGGACGCTCCGCGGGAGAACGTCAAATCCCAGCATGCCCTGGGACACTCCTTTGGGGAATGTCAAATCCCAGCATGCCCTGGGACACTAAGAGGGAACGACAAACCCCAGCATGCCTTGGGACACTCCTTTGGGTAACGTCAAATCCCAGCATGCCTTGGGACGCTCCGCGGGGAAACGTCAAATCCCAGCATGCCCTGGAAAACTCTTCGGTGGGAGCCTCAAATCCCAGCATGCCCTGGGACACTAAGAGGGAACGACAAACCCCAGCCTGCTCTAGGACACTCCACGGGGGAAGGTCCTATCCCAGCATGCCCTTGGACACTCCGCGGGGGATGTCAAATATTTTTAAATATATTTCAAATATACACCCTGTTCCAAATTAATATGCAAATGATATTTTTCTCATTTACCTAAATAATTGATGTAAATAAGTCGGCATAATTCTCAGGTTACAACTATTAAGAGTACAATTCACATTTTATTGAACAAACCTCCTAATGATAACAGGATTTTTGTTCCAAATATTTCCGCACAGGAAGTTTCAAAACACTTTATAGTTTGTAAAGAACTGAAAATTGTCATTTGTTGTGTTTGCAGCATATTTACTGAAATCAAAAGCTATTTCAATCAAACTTTTAACAACATTTTAACTTTTTAAACATTTTAACCGGTCATGTTACATTGTAACATAGGAGCCCTTATCTGATAGCAGATCACAAGTCTTGCATCCATTGAACTTGGGAGTTTTTGGATAGTTTCTGCTTGAATTTGTTCGCAAGATGTCAGAATAGCCTCCCAGAGCTGCTGTTTGGATGTAAACTGCCTCCCACCCTCATAGATCTTTTGCTTGAGGATGCTCCAAAGGTTCTCAGTAGGATTGAGGTCAGGGGAGGATGGAGGCCACACCATGACTTTCTCTCCTTTTATTCCCATAGCAGCCATTGATGCAGAGGTATTCTTTGCAGCATGAGATGGTGCATTGTCATGCATGAAGATGATTTTATTACGGAAAGCAGAGTTCTTCCTTCTGTACCAGGGAAGAAAGTGGTCAGTCATAAACTCCACATACTTTGCAGAGGTCATCTTTACACCTTCGGGGCCCCTAAAGGGGCCAACCAGCTCTGTTACCATGATTCCGGCCTTGGGACACTCCTCGGGAGAATGTCAAATCCCAGCATGCCCTGGGACACTCCTCGGGAGAATGTCAAATCCCAGCATGCCCTGGGACGCTCCTTGGGGGGAACGTCAAATCCCAGCATGCCCTGGGACGCTCCGCGGGAGAACGTCAAATCCCAGCATGCCCTGGGACGCTCTGCGGGAGAGCGTCAAATCCCAGCATGCCTTGGGACACTCCGCGGGAGAACGTCAAATCCCAGCATGCCCTAGGACGCTCCGCGGGAGAACGTCAAATCCCAGCATGCTCTGGGACGCTCCTCGGGGGAACGTCAAATCCCAGCATGCTCTGGGACGCTCCTCGGGGGAACGTCAAATCCCAGCATGCCCTGGGACGCTCCTCGGGGGAACGTCAAATCCCAGCATGCCCTGGGACGCTCCTCGGGGGAACGTCAAATCCCAGCATGCCCTGGGACGCTCCTCGGGGGAACGTCAAATCCCAGCATGCCCTGGGACGCTCCTCGGGGGAACGTCAAATCCCAGCATGCCCTGGGACGCTCCTCGGTTGAACATCAAATCCCAGCATGCCCTGGGACGCTCCTCGGGGGAACATCAAATCCCAGCATGCCCTGGGACACTCCTCGGGGGAACGTCAAATCCCAGCATGCCCTGAGACGCTCCGTGGCCCAAAACATGACTCCACCACCGCCTTGCTGATGTTGCAGCCTTGTTGGAACAGGGTGGCCGTCCACCAACCATCCACTATTCCATCCATCTGGACCATCCAGGGTTGCACGGCACTCATCAGTGAACAGGACTGTTTGAAAATGAGTCTTCATGTATTTTTCTGCCCAATGCAGCCGTTTCTGCTTGTGAACATTGGTTAGTGGGGGCCGAATAGAAGGTTTATGCACAGTTGCAAGACTCTGGAGGACTCTACACCTTGATGTCCGTGGGACTCCAGAGGCACCAGCAGCTTCAAATATCTGTTTGCTGCTATGTAATGGTATTTCAGCAGCTGCTCTCTTGATCCGATGCCTGGATCTGGCAGAAATCTTCCTCAATGTGCCTTTATCTGCACCAACCCGTCTGCGCTCTGAATCAGCCACAAATCTCTTCATAGTGCGATGATCACGCTTACGTTTTTGTGAAATATCGAATGTTTTCATACCTCGTCCAAGGCATCGAACTATTTCACTCTTTTCGGCAGCAGAGAGATCCTTTTTCTTCTCCATATTGCTTGAAAATGGTGCTCTGCTTAATAATGTGGAACACCGTCCTTTAGTAGTTTTTCCTTAAATTGGGCTCACCGGCCAATCTAATTATCACAGGTGTCCGAGATTGTTTTCAGTGATCAAAAGAGCCCTGACACACAATGCCATCCATGAGTTAAACTGAAAAACAAAATATTTAATCTTTGTGACACTTAAATAGAATTTGCATAATAATTTGCAACAGGGTGTATTTTTCTTCCATATGGGAAATCCCCCTACATAGGTTGTACTTGGTAATCTGCAGTCTTCTTTAAATCCATTCAAAGTCCAGAATTTATACAGCTTGTCTGAGCTTTCAGAAGAAAGTGGGCAGAGAGCTGCGATTACAGCCTGCAGTGAAGAGAGCTGATTGGAGGGAAGGGACACCCCCCCCTCCACACACCACACAGTAACAGAGCTGAAGCTGTTAATCACAGGCTATGTGCTGGAGCTCCCTCCTTGTCACTATTTCTCTTTTCATGTCAGGAAAAACGTGTCAGAAGTTACTCATGCCTGTAGCAGAGAAATGAGGCAGCAGACAGAAATGACACTTAGTGTTGTGTACTGAGACAAGTGCACACTATAGAGGGATATGCTTTGTTCATATTTCATGTCTGGGGTTTACAACCACTTTGAGATTATTTAGGTATATCCTGGAATTCTACTTTAATGCTGAAGTATACAAATGTCACCATGCCTCTTCCTCACTATGTTGTGTACTGCTGTTATATATTTTGTCCTTTTATTTTTGTAGGGGCTGAAAAAGACACGTACAGCTCTAGATGATGAACTGCCACGCACGCAGCACAGCATCAGTAGCCGGGATGAACTGAGGGCCGTGTTACACTTGGATTCTTTGTACAAGGAAAACAAGGTAGTGACTTCTACCAGCATAATGTTAAAGTGATATTAAAGTTTTGTTTTAAAAATTAAACAACAAACATGTTATATGTACCTGCTGTGTGCTGTGGTTCTGCACAGATCAGCCCTGATCCTCCTTTTCTCAGGTCCCCCCGCCAGCGCTCCTGGTCTCTCTCCTGCTGAGTGCCCCCAGAGCAAGCAGCTTGCTCTGGGGGCATCCAAGAGGCGCACTCCTGAGCTGCAGCTCCACATGTCCATTCACACACAGCTGTGGCTCGACCCCACCCCTCCCTCTCCTGATTGGCTCACTGGCGGAGATTGACAGCCAATCAGGAGTGAGAGTCCCCAGAGAGCCAAGGCTCTTGTGGACTTCGCTGGATCAAGAGAGGGCTCAGGTAAGAATTGGGCTGCTGAACACAGAAAGTTGTTTTTTTTTTTTTTTTTGTTTTTTTTTTATAGGGATGCACCGAAATCTCAGCGTCCAGAATTATATAAAAATAACGCTATTGGCTAATAATCTGCCCAATTTGGAAAAAAAAAAAAGCTCCAGAACTTGTTTCAGCCTCAGATATTTAAATTCAGGGGACTTGGAGCGGAGATGTGAACCGTCTCCATTGAGAATAATTAATTTTTGCTCCTCAAATGTTTTGGAGCTTCGAGCTACAAAGTGCTCATGTGTGAATGGGACCTTAGGGAGATTTTCCTGTTTACAATTATCATTGAAAATGAAAGTAAAGGCCCTACTGCATTGCCCAATTTTGGGTCTGTCTAGGTCTCAGCAGAAATTGGCATCCTACCTATTCATTTCGGCCAAACGTGCTATAGCCCAAGCTTGAAGAACCCCTTCGGTTGTCTTCCAGGGGGTGAAGACTCGGATGAATGCTATGCTGATCAATTACCAGATGTCTAGCATTCTTCAAGATTCTCATCTGAGATTCCTTAAGGTTTAGGAACCTTGCATACGTTATTCCCTGCCATCCCTGCCTCCTACTAGTTATGGCCTCTTATAGTCGTTGCCTGTGCTAGCCCTGGATCCATGACTCTTCTAGTCTTCCTTTCTTCCATGTTTTTTCTCTGAATCTTTTTTCCTTATTTTTTTCTATGTTTTTATATTTTCTTTTTCCTTTTTTCTATCAGTTTGAGGTCTTTTTTTTTTTCTTCTTTTCCCTCCCCTTATGTTCTGAGTTGATATTTCTCGGCAGGGGTTTTTCCTCTTTGTTTTTTTTCATGGTAATATGATGGATTGTTGCTGCTACTATTTGGTTCGACTTTTTGCCATCCCTCCTTGATGTCATTGGACATTCCGTTATTTGGCTAATACACCCTGCTGACTTGTATCTGTTTATGTTTGTTATTGTTCTGCTCTGCCCCTGCGTGGGCGTATCATGAGCTTGTTGTATTATAAAAACAAAAACTTCTTTAATAAAAATATTGAAATAGAAAATGAAAGTAAAGAAAACCTCGAATTTTGGGTTGTCCCCAGAAAAGTAATTGAGGGTAAATCTTTCAATGGGGACACTAGTTCTGGTGACCTAGAGGGCCCAAATAGATTCCCTTTTTATTTTGCAGGGATTTCTTCCCACTTCCTGTTGGGCTGTGAGAGAGGAAGTGAAGGTAAATCTCAATGGGACACAGATAGCAAAAATAAATTGACGGGGTTTATAACCTTCCCTTGCATCCAGAATGGAAAAAAAACAAAAAAAAAACATGTTGCTTATAGTTCTACTTTACCTGCTAATGTAACTGTATGCCGGAACCTACAGGTATGCAAATGTAACTTCGTAATCTTCCAGAATATACAGAGGGTCCTGAAACCAGTAGTGCTCTAATATGCTAATAGCGACCTAAGTGTTCAAAGTCAGTCTATGTCCTGTCCCTTGACATTCTGCTTCCTTATTCCCCACCCCACTGATCTGCAGATGGATGCTGCATGTTTAAAATTAGCATGGCAATAAGAAGTAGATCCCTAATTTACTCAACATTCTGCCCTTCCCTAAGAGTACTGCTGTACAGAAAATTATAGGAGGCGAATGTAAGGACCAGGGGCGGACTGACCATTTGGAAACTCGGGCACTGCCCGAGGGCCCGGGGTCAGTAGGGGGCCCCATGAGATGCCCCCTGGTACCTTTTCCATAGGCTTTTTTGAGTTTGGGCAAGGACACAGGGGCCCCATGATCCCCTATTGCCCGGGGGCCCCATGAGTTGTCAGTCCGCCCCTGGTAAGGACAGATACAGTTGCTTGTACTAGCTGTATTTCAGAATATATTTATTATTTTTAACCTCCCTAGCAGTCTGATTATATCAGTATTTCTGTGCTCAAAGCAGTACATTTTTTTGCATGGAAATATGTTGTTTTTTTATTGTAGGCTTGTAATTCTTAGGAATAACTCACTGAAATCTGTCCGAACAAGAATCTAGTAAACATCCCGGGTATGTTAAAATTTTAAACATGAAATCATAAATTATAATGTAATAAATAATCAAAAAAATAATATAATAATAAATTTATTTCAATAATATAATCAAACCAAAAACACTGAAATGTGAAATATAGCGCCAAGTTCGCACATCGCTGAGCAAAGTCGCAGAATCGTTTTCAGTGTCTGATGAGGAATTTCCCCCACGAATCATTATCACTCAATTCTGCAAGTGGTTCTGATTTACTATCGCTGTTCACTAGCCGGTCTAAAACCGCTTTTGACCTAAAGGGACGCTTTTTGGAAGCCATGGACGTTTCTCAGTTTCCAGGCAGAAAGAACAGTAAAAATGCAGGCAGGGCGCCGGACAAAGCACTCGGGACAAAATGTATGTGAAATGGTTTGATACAGGAATGTTATACTATGTGATTTTAGTGTATTGAGTGAATGTCAAATTTTTACATTTTTTAATTTCCCGCCGGTTCCGTTCCCTGTACGCCCCGACGCTCGCAGGGACCGGAACCCGGAAGACAGATGCCGGCATCGGCCGGAGGACATGGCCAGGGATGCTGCAAGGGGGACATCGCAGGAGCGCAGGACAAGGTAAGTGCTGGAGGGATCCCTGAGCAACGCTGCCGTGTATTCCCGAGTGTAGCTCGGGGTTACCACTTGTGGTACTGAAAGTTAACCCTGAGCTACACTCAGGAATACCACCAGGGGGGTTAATGGGTACAAAAGTGCAATTAAGGGTACATTTTTATATTTCTCTCGAATTGTTCTTTTTAAAATAATTATGAATACTAAGGCTCCTTTCAAGTGAAGGGTCTGATCAGGTCCACCTGTAAGTTTTTCAGAGGGACCTCATCGGAGAGTACATTAACCCCCTATGGAACGGTGGGTGTAAAATGGACCGTTTATACCATCCTACCTCCAAATCAATCCAGTCTGCTAAAAAATAAAAACTGAAGGGGATCCATCAACCTCCAACTCAGCAGATCAGATCGAAGGGCAGTTGGGTGTAAATGGACTACAGAGTTCTCTTTTACTCCCGGCCGCCCATAGAGCTCTGTGTATGTGGACACGGAACTGTCACCTGCCTGCTCTGCTCTGATCAGCAGGGGATCAGTGGACAGCAGGGTGGATGAAAATCGATGATTTTTAAAAATAAATTTTAAAAATCTGATTTTTTTTTTTTTATCAAATTTATTTTAATAAAATGCTTTTGGAGTAAAAATCTATTTCTATTTAACATACAATAATAATTTAGTTTATTCAGCATGCAATGGAGCTTAGTTATGTAGCATGAGGCTGTATATTCTACAATATTTAAATTTTTGGTAAACTCATTCAATGAATCCAAGAGCTAACACGCACTGCATTGAGGCATTCACACAATTTCACAGTAACCATGATTAAAAACATGAAATAAAAGAATTGGAGTCGTTCTCCGGCTATGTGTGATGAACCTATTAACCTAAAATCGGTTCTGATATCTCTGTTTTACTAACCTGACTGCTTATTATTGTAAAAAGGAAACCTTCATTTGGTTTGCAAATATTAAACCTGTCATTTTAGATCCATCATGGCAGCGCCTGTTAGCGGGCATCCACTCACCTGCTGCCACCACGTCCCTCACCTTGTTGTGTCACGGCCACATCACCAGCCGTGACGTTAAAGTGAATGGGACTGTCGTTGAGTCAACAGTGGGTCAGAGAAGGAGCCGCTGCGGGACAGAGAGAACAGTTGCTCTTTAAAAATTATGATTTAAATTGAGCCTTTTCACTAGCGATTTAAATCAAATCCACCCTGGCAGACAGATCCTCTGATGACGAAAACAGAGTCCGCCTCAGGTGAAGGGGGCCCTACATTATGGGGTTGATTTACTAAAGAACAGTAGGCTGGTCATTGTGCAAGGGAATTTTCTCCAGAGCTTAGTGAATGTGGTGAAACTTCACTTTGCAAAGAATGCCCAATCACACGCAAGGGGAATAACATAAACAGCCTTTGCTTGCACATGATTGGATGATGGAAGTCAGCAGAACTTCACCTCATTTACTAAGCACTGGGGAAAATTCCCATGCAAAGTGCAATGTCCCTAAACAAGTAAACGGCCTATGCAACTTTAGTAAATAAGCCCCTATACATATAAAAATCCCCCACTCACGACTTTGCCATTAAGATCAACAGCACTACCATTGGTCCTTCCCCTCATGCCAGGGTGCTAGGCGTAATCCTAGACTCTGACCTCTCCTTTGGGCCCCACATCCACTCACTGGCTAAATGCTGCTGCCTCAACCTCCGGAACATTTCCAAAATCTGCCCCTTTCTGACCAATGCCACCACAAAACAACTTATCCATGCCTTGGTTATATCCCGCCTCGATTACTGCAACTCCCTTCTCACTGGTCTACCGTTACACAGGCTATCCCCCCTTCAGTCTACTATGAATGCTGCTGCTAGACTCATACACCTTACCAACCGATCAGCGACTGCTGCCCCTCTCTGTCAATCCCTCCACTGACCTCTGCTCAGTGTCCTCCATCCCTCTCTGCCAATCCCTCCACTGGCCTCCACTCAGTGTCCTCCACCCCTCTCTGCCAATCCCTCCACTGGCCTCCACTCAGTGTCCTCCACCCCTCTCTGCCAATCCACCCCCCTCCACTGGCTTCCACTAACCCAACATATAAAATTCAAAATACTAACCACAGCTTACAAAGCCATCCACAACACTGCCCCCAGCTACATCGCCAACCTCATCCACAGATACCGCCCAAATCACCCATTCCGCTCCTCTCAGGATATCTTCCTCTCTAGCTCCCTCATCAACGCTTCCCACGCTCACCTCCAGGACTTCTCCTGAGCCTCTCCCATCCTCTGGAACTCCCTACCACAGCATGTCCGGTCAGCCCCCACCCTGTCTGCCTTTAGGCGATCTTTGAAAACTCACTTCTTCAGGGAAGCCTACCCCACCTCCACCTAAGAACTGTACTTGAATCACCTCCACCAGATCATCCCCCGCAGCTATCACCTTTTGTATCACCTCCCCCTTCCTTTAGATTGTAAGCTCCACGAGCCGGGCCCTCCTATTCCTTCTGTACTGAAATGTATTGTAATTGTACTGTCTCCCTTATATTGTACAGCGCTGAGCAAACTGTTGGCGCCATATAAATCCTGTATAATAATAATAATATAAAGGTTTGTTCAGGTTTTTCCAGTGAAGGCTACTGTTAGTGCTACAGGATTCAAAGATATTTTAGACAATTGTGCTTTTCCAGCCTTGTGGGAATAGTTTGGTGAAGGTTTTTTTTCTTTTTCAGCATGGCTGTGCCCCTGTGTTCAAACTAACTCCATAAAGACATGGTTTGACCAGTTTGATGTGGAGGAACTCCAGTGTCCTGTACAGAGCCCTGACCTCAACCCTACTGAACACCTTTGGGATGAATTGGAACACAGATTATGAGCCAAGTCTTCTCATCCAACATCAGTACCTGACCTCACCAAAGCTCTTTTGGCTGAATGGACACAAATTCCCACAGACACCCTCCAAAATCATAGAAAGCCTGCCCAGAAAAGTAGGGGATGTCATAGCTATAAAGAGGGCAACTCCATAATAACCTCCCTGGCGGTATTCCCGAGTGTAGCTCGGGGTTAAGTTTTAGTACCAGAAGCGGTAACCCCCCACGAGCTACACTCGGGAATACACTGCAGCGTTGCTCCGGGATTCCCTCCAGCACTTACCTTGTCCTGCGCTCCCGCGATGTCCCCCCTGCAGCGTCCCCGGCCATCTCCTCCAACCGAGGCCGGCATCCGTCTTCCGGGTTCCGTTCCCTGTGAGCGTCGGGGCGTTTAGGGGGGGGCGGAACCGGCGTGAATTTAAAAAATGTAAAAAAGTGACATTCACTAAATACACTAAAATCACATAGTATAACATTCCTGTATCAAACCATTTCACATACATTTTGTCCCGAGTGCTTTGTCCGGCGCCCTGCCTGCATTTTTACTGTTCTTTCTGCCTGGAAACTGAGAAACGTCCATGGCGTCCAAAAAGCGTCCCTTTAGGTCAAAAGCGGTTTTAGACCGGCTAGAGAACAGCGATAGTAAATCAGAACCACTTGCAGAATTGAGTGATAATGATTCGTGGGGGAAATTCCTCATCAGACACTGAAAACGATTCTGCGACTTTGCTCAGCGATGTGCGAACTTGGCGCTATATTTCACATTTCAGTGTTTTTGGTTTGATTATATTATTGAATTAAATGTATTATTATATTATTGTTTATTATATTATAATTTATGATTTCGTGTTTCAAATTTTATCATCCCCGGGATGTTTACTAGACTCTTGTTCGGACAGATTTCAGTGAGTTATTCCTAAGAATTACAGGCCTACAAAGCAATGTACCATTTTGAACACAGAAATACTGACATAATCAGACTGGTAGGGAGGTTAATGACCATGTTTTTGGAATGGGATGTTCATCAAGCTGCTATAGGTGGGATGGTCAGGTGTTCAGAAACCTTCAACCATATTGCTCCTCTCCATTGAACTGCAAAGCTACCCCAGCATAACCTGATGGCTTCCCAGACCAGGGAGGACATGATGTCAAATGTGAGGTTTAACACCCCTATCCCACTATGCATTGGGGTTGAATTACTAAGGGCAAATTAGACTGCATTTTGCAAAGTCAGTTGCTCCAGAACTTGATAAATGAGGTAAAGTTTCACCTTACAAAGAATACCCAATCACATGCTAGGAAAAGAAAAACAGCATTTTGCTTACACCTGATTAGATGATGGAAGGCAGCAGAGCTTCCCCTTATTTACTTAGCTCTAGAGCAGTGGTTCTCAACCTGTGGGTCGCGACCCCTTTGGGGGTTGAACGACCCTTTCACAGGGGTCCCCTAAGACCATCAGAAAACACATATTTCCGATGTGTAAAGAGCAGCTACTGTGTTGAAAGCAGCTACTGTGTTGAAAGCAGCTACTGTGTTGAAAGCGGCTACTGTGTTGAAAGCAGCAGTATTGGAGGTAAAACGACACTCATGAATTATAATTACTGGGTAAATAATTTTATGGTTGGGGGTCACCACAACATGAGGAACTGTATTAAAGGGTCGCGGCATTAGGAAGGTTGAGAACCACTGCTCTAGAGCAACTGCACTTGCACAGTGCACAGCCTATTTGCCTTTAGTAAATCAATCCCAATGGGGGATTTACTAAAAGTGGTGCACTCAGAATCTGGTGCAGCTGTATATGGGAGTCAATCCGCTTCTAACTTCAGCTTGTTCATTTAAGCTTTGACAATAAAACCTGGAAGTTGATTGGTTTCTATGCGGAGTTGCCCCTGATTTTGCACACTCCAGGTTTTGTAAATCTGCCCCATTGTGTACATCTGTTTGTTGATTAAGATTCACACATGGCAGTGTGGATTTTGAGGCAGGTTTAGCTTCAATGTAGCAGCATATGGAGGAATTTGTAGGAATATTGAGAAACCTTTTATTAGGAACATGTCCTTTTTAATTTTAGTGACTGGTTCCTTTTTCATTTTTTTTTTTTTAATTCTTTCTTTTAACAGTTGGCTGAGAAACCCCTAAAAACGTACCTGGAAATAATGGCAAAGAATTTTCTTGATAAGAAAACATTGAAAATGGAAGAACAGAATGCAGAGTGCACCAAGTTATTTACCCAAGGACACCAGAAGAAAGCGGCAGTGAGCTCAAATCTGGCTGTGTATGACATCTCTGATGAGGAAAGCAGTAGCAGCTGTGCTGTATCTGAGACCAGTCACATTTTAACCCACAAGTAAGTGTTTAAATCTAAATTCCAGCCTGCCTTCTGTCTTGCACAGTTGTACAGGCATCACTCTTTTATAAAACTTCTTACTCTGGTTTCAATGCACACTGTGAGCTTCTCACAATCAAGCAAGGCAGATAAAGCCCACCTCATTTTCTGGCTAGAGGATGTCCATATAGCCTTTGTCCCGGCCCTTTCATTCATTGGAGGCTCAGCATCACCTAGGGCAATCTCAATTTCATTGAAAGCCGCATCAACACTATGGTTGCCCTCAAAGGGCCGATTGTATATGTAAGACTCACCCCATCCTCCTTACATCAGATGTCAAGAGCCCCCCGCCATCTGAAATCAGGAGTCCCCCACTCTTCCTTACATCACACTGCTGGGGTCAGAGCTGAGAAGCAGAAAGTGCAGGGCCTAGAGGAGGACCAGAGGAGGGCTGGAGTCAGCTGATGCTAAGAATGCTAAGAAGAAGAGGGTGCTGTGGCTATACAGAGAGAAGCAGGATCTGTAGGAGGAGTTCTATCCTCCTTTCTGCTGCCACCTGCTGGGATGGGGGGCAGAGACGAGCCTCTCCAAAGCTGCACAGAGAACTGCAGGATTTTGGATTTTACAGAGGAGTTTTGTTCTCCTCTCTACTGCTGACTGCTGAAACAAGGTGGGGGCGGAAACAAGAGGGGCGCTACAGCTGAGAGAGGTGCAAGGGCCAAATGAAATACCCTGGAGGGACGGATGTGGCCCATGGGGCTTGTGTTTGACACATGTGACTAGGGTGTTCATCATGCAGATACAGCCTGCTTAGGAATGCCCAGATCTCCAAACTGACACCCACTCATCAAGACATTATGATATTCGCATAACTCTTTCCCAGGAGCCGGCTTACTGATTGCGTCAGTGCTGAGGGCTGTTGAGACCAATATTGAGACAGGGTGCTGTGATGATTTGCCTACATCACAAAGAGAAGCACAGAGGTCCAATACTGACCTCAATGGGTCTAAAATAAAGTATGTAAACAGATTTTATTTAAAATTTCACTGAACAACATGTCTCCATTCCTCAGCCAAGTCCCTGTGCTTTCAGAGTCTTTAAGGTGTCATCTACGGTTACTTCAGTGCCTCCCAGGTCCCAGTATCCTCTTTGTCTCCTGAGCTTCAGTTCCTCTGTCCCTCCTGAGTTCCTATGTTCTCCGGTATCCTTGTGTCACCAGAGCCACCTGATTCCCACTGTTGTGCTTCCTTAGCTGCCTGTGCCTTCAAGTGTACCTGTGTGCTCTATGCCTTCTGCATGCTTCAGTATGCCACCGTTGTCCTGAATGCACCCGTGTGTGCCCCTGAGTCTCCTATCTATTCACCCTGGTGTCTCCAGCATGCCGCTGTGCACTTCTTTTTGTGCCTGCCATGCACACGTTAACCAACACATCTCCAGCAAGCTCCTGTGCGCCTCTGAGACTCCTGTATACCCACATAGCTTTCAGTATGCTCTGCAATACATTGAACTTCCACTTCTCCACTTCTCCTCCTGTCCTTCCTCGGGTTCACCCCTGTAATCGTTCAGTGGATACGGACTTAGGGCCAATTTACACTAAAACACAGTGCAGGAAGCCCGCGTTCAATGTGCATTTCCTGCACCGCGTTCAAAACGTTTCACTTGCGATCTGCAGCAGGTGTTAGTGCAAAGCTAATGACACCCCAAACACTGGTTGTAATGAAGTGCGTTTGCCTGCACAGGATTGCATGGTACTTCCGTTTGCTCTGTGTCTTGTAGAGTAGTGCATGCACTACTTTTGCTGCAGTCTGGCTTTATTTCATCCCATTTAAATGAATGGGCTAAAATCACACTGCACACACAAACATTTCCCAGCACACTTACCAGCTAGCCTGCAAAACAACCAAATTGGCTCTGCCTAACAATGTACGTTACAAACAGAGGGCTTTGTTTGTACACATTTGCAAATAAATGCGTAATCCGCATCCTGGATCAACACGGCAGTACATATGAAGGATATCTCCTTTTTCTACTACCCATTGCACAGGTGGTGAGTGGACTGTTACAGGACTAACGAAAAAGGCTCCTTGCGATTTATATTATATATACAATAGAGTGAGAGCTCTCAAAGTGACTATTCTTATATAGTTTGTCTTATTACAGGATGGGGACATTATGGTGCTTTATATAGAAACAAGGCATACTACATTTATTGCAACAGGCGGAAGACCTACTGGGCCTTATCTTGTCTCAAATATCAAAGTGGTTTGCAGTCCACATGCTGTGGTGAAGAAACCATATAAAACAGGCCTCTGCTATTTGCATCTATTTCTCCATCAAGACAACTACAGGGACTCTTTCACCTATAAGAATCCTTGCAACTATTCACGTATATTTCAGATACATGGGCCCCAACCACATGTGCCTTTATAGGGGTGTACTGCATGAATCCATTACTATATCATTGGGGTTATTTCCCCCTTTTCAATCAATTTTAACCCACATTGCCTTATATAGGCTTAGGGTTATGCTTCTCTCCAGATGGTAACTGTATCTGTCTTTTTTGCTTGCATGTGATCTTATATACCCATGGTACAATTTTTGGAAAATCTCCTTCAGGGAGTGTAACCTATATGGTAACAATATATGCCTATATAGCATGCGATATTACATAACTATGGTATAATTTTTTGAATACACCTCCTACAGGGAGTGTAACCAATGTGCAAGTGCTGCAAATGCTTTAGACTATGGTGGTCATAGCCTTTGCAGCACATATATCCAGACCGGTCTTGGTGTGATTTTAATGGTTTTAGGTCTGTGTGTATTGTCTCATACTTGGGTGATGGTAAACCAGGGCGACTGCCCGTGTGTCAATCATTTATGTGTAATAAAGCATCATTTTTGGAAATTTTTCTGAGTATCGCATTCTGTTCATTATGTAGCCGCTTTCCTGTGAATGTCTTTTCACAAATCCCTTTTTGGTCCGTAATCCGCAATGCCTACTTCAAGGCTCCTCTGTGTACTGCGGTCCAAACTCTATAGTTTTCAGCCTTCCAAGTTGGAGCACATATAGCAGTGGATAGATTAAGGACAGGTTTGCCTGGAGGGAGCCCAGCCTTTCTTAAAGGCACAGGGACACACGGGACACCCAGCAAGGGACACACTGGATGCCTTTAGCTGCCATTGTGCTCTTGCTGCAAACAAAACCCTCTGGTTTTAGCATTATTATTATTATACAGGATTTATATAGCGCCAACAGTTTGCTCAGCACTGTACATTACAATGGGAGACAATACACGAGACAGTACAGTAACAATACAGTGCAATATACGAGGGTTCGAGGGCCCTGCTTCTTGGAGCTTACAATCTAGGAGGGAGGGGATAGTGGTACAGGAGGAAATAGCTGTGGGGGATGGAGTGGTAGGAGGAGTGGAGGAGATCGTCAGTTAAGTGAGGGCGGGGTAGGCTTCCCTGAAGAGGTGGGTTTTCAGGGTGCGCTTAAAGGTGAGGAGGGTAGGTGACAGTCTGATGGATTGGGGTAGTGAGTTCCAGAGGATGGGGAAGCTCTGGAGAAGTCCTGGAGACAGGCATGGGAGGAGGAGACCAGGGAACTAGAGAGTAGGAGGTCTTGTGAGGAGCGGAGAGTACGTTTTGGGTGGTATATGGATATCAGGTCGGTGATGTAATTTGGGGCAGTATTATGAGCAGCTTTATACGTTAATGTTAGTAATTGAATTTTATGTGTTGGGCAATCGGAAGCCAGTGGAAGGAATGGCAGAGGGGGGCAGAGCATGAATTGTTAAATAGGGGAAGTTTTGTTTTTATGCAGGCAGGCTGGTAAGTGTGCTGGGAAATCTTTGTGTCTGCGTTCTCCTTCCATTTGCACCTTACTGCAAAGGCTAGTTATAGGTTGGGATGGCTGCCACTTTTTTGTACACTTTGTTGAAATTCCACTGCACCTAGATCACATGTGAATCGCATAGGAACTCACAGCACGTTACTGTGCGATTCATGGTCTGAAATGGCCCTTAAACACTTGAAGACCCAGCCTTTTCTGACACTTTTTGTTTACATGTAAAAATAGTTTTTTTTTGTTAGAAAATTAGTTAGAACCCCAAGCATGATATATTTTGGTTGATGACCTAAAGAATAAATGGAGGGGTGCTGCAATTTTTTTTATGTCACACGGTATACTCCTTTTGGAATTTTAATGCTCAAAAACACAATATAATACCCAATTGTCTGGTAAAATTTAAAAGATGGTGTTACAACAAGTAAATAGATACCAAACATGTCACGGTTTAAACGACGTAAATATCATTCTCCTTAGGCGACGCTTTAAAAGCCTTTACAGGTTACCACATGTGTGGGATGATTACTGTTTGCTTGCCTTCAGGACCGATACTTACATTCTCCTTTTGCACGCAAGCATGAGGGAATGGGGGTGCTTTTAAAAATTTTTTTTTTTTTTTTTTTTTTAGACTGTCGCTGTAAATTTTTTTTTTTTTCTCTTTCTTAATTTTTTGTTATCAGGGAATATAAATATCCCCTGTGATAGCAATAGACAGTGACAGTATTCGTTGTGGACAGATCTGGAGAGATTAGACCCCAGAGGTCTCCTCTGCCCTTAAAAGCATTACCCTTTTATAAAAAGACGCTGCTTACATCTAGTATCATAGAGGTGATCAAAGCCGATCTGGCCTCTGTTTGCCTATATAATCGGAGGCCAGGCTGTCTGGACGGGGGGTGGGGGGGCTAGAAGGTCCTCAGAAAGCAGGGAAGCCAGCAGGAGGGACGGGGGGACGTCCCCTCTTGTTGCTTGTAAAAGCCATCAAGTGGCCAATTAGCCACTTGGATTGCTTTCACAAGAAAGCTTTCCCATTGGTTCTAATAAATGATACCAGGACCTATACCCACTGAAAGTCCAGTGACGTACAGGTACTGCAATGTTCCACAGAAGCCGACAGTTTCATGTGGGCTGGACAGTTTTGGCTACATTTGGTACAAATGTGGAGGAAAATATATAAAATAGAAATAAAATCATGCAAACACAAAGGAATTCCTATAATGAATACTAGCAGTGCATGTATTAACTCCACACAGATATCAGAATACACTTTTGTTTTGTTTACAGTATTGATCATTTACTTTTTGTTATATTCTGAATATTTCATTGTTCTCCTAACACACAGGGTCGAGGACAGCACAGCATCATCACAGAAACATAGATATTTGAGACCATCAGGAGATGTAAGTAAAAAAGCAAACCATAGCATGAAAAGTAGCAGCTTCTCTCCCGAGGATGACTTGAAGAATATAAAGGAAAATAATTGGGAGACCGCAAAGATTTCAGACTCTCTAAATGAACCAAAAAGTGCAGCATCTGAGAATGGGAGACCTAAATCAAGCAGGATTGTCCGGGGGATGATGTCTGGTCCCATCTCCAGCTCACAGGAGGTAATGTGATTATTACTTATCAGTAATTCATCAATAAATCTGAATACAAAAGGTGTCAGAGTGTTACCCTAGGTCAGTGCTTCTCAAATAGTGGGGAGCGCCCCCCAGGGGGGGCGCGAGGCTCCGTCAAGGGGGGCGCGTACAGGGGTGGGCAGAGGGCTGCTGTCTCTTACCTGGCTCCCACGATGATCCATCCAGGAAGCGCTGCTCCTTCCGTCACTCCGGCCACTCCCTCACTCCTGCCGCTCGGCTCCACCTCCTCACCGGTGATTGGCCGCCAGAACTGTAGCTCTAGGAAAGGTACACAGGCGGCCAATCACGGGGGAGGAGGCGGAGCTGAGCGGACCCGCGAAAATCGAGTGAGGGAAAAGCCGGTAAGTGTGCAGTGCAGAGGTGCTGCTGCAACCACATATGCTGGCTGCAGCAGCGCCATACTGCAACAGGGGTCAGCAAGTGTCATTGGTGTCAGTGGGATGAATAGTGCCGCATCATTGGTGTCACTGATACTAATGATGGGGCATTATTCCTCCCACTGACACACCAATGATGGGGCACTATTCCTCCCACTGATACCAATGATGGGGCACTATTTCCTCCCACTGATACCAATGATGGGGCACTATTCCTCCCACTGATACCAATGATGGGGCACTATTCCTCCCACTGACACCAGTGATGGGACACTATTCCTTCCACTGACACCAATGATGGGGCACTATTCCTCCCACTGATACCAATGATGGGGCACTATTCCTCCCACTGATACCAATGATGGGGCACTATTCCTCCCACTGATACCAAGGATGGGGCACTATTCCTCCCACTGACACCAATGATGGGGCACTATTCCTCCCACTGACACCAATGATGGGGCACTATTCCTCCCACTGACACCAGTGATGGGACACTATTCCTCCCACTGATACCAATGATGGGGCACTATTCCTCCCACTGACACCAATGATGGGGTACTATTCCTCCCACTGACACCAATGATGGGGCACTATTCCTCCCACTGACACCAATGATGGGGCACTATTCCTACTTATAACAATTTTATAGACAAATGATACTATTTACAGTCGGGGGGGCGCAAAATGTTTTCTTCTTCCTGGGGGGGGCATGACAGAAAATAATTGAGAAGCACTGCCCTAGGTTCACATCTGTGCGGGTGGTGCTGCGGCGAATCCGCAAGAAAATCTGTGCAGCCGCACCACCAGCACAGAAAAATGCGGACCTGCGGGTGGGTGCCATTAGTTCTAATAGCACGCCGTCTGCACTGGAAAACGCAACTGAACTGGAAACCGAGGTTCCTGTGCGGGCTGCGTTTTCCAAAGAAGTGCAGGGACTTCTTTCCCTGTGTGTCACGGAACATGGGAGTCCATTCAAATGAATGGGCTCTCGTGCCCTTGCAAAACGTGACCCGCACTGCCGCATAGATGTGAACCAGGGGTCATTGTTTTGAATCGCATTGTGAAAAATGGCAGGGAGGTGTGGACGTTTATTCCTGTAGTGCCATAAAGGCACTTCAGAAATAGCTGCTTGGTGGCCAGTGCACCCAGTAATGATTGTCAACCAAGCCGTCATTAGACGGTTCAGTTCAAAGACACAGTATATAGAGCTGATCCAAGCTGCTCTGTACTATGTGATCTCTGTGATGACCAGTCACAGAGATCACAAATGTAAACCGTGTACTGTTCCTCTTATAGAGGAAGGAGGAACTAATGAATAAAAGATCAATCACTAGTTCCAGGTCACAAGCTGCAGCAGATTCTGGGTAGGAGGTGGAATCCTTTTTTTTCCTACTCCTTTGTACATCTCAGCTCCATCCAGTCTCTTGTGGCCTGTATATTAACTCCTCATCTCCCTTATCCTATACCAGCATGCTTCTGCATCTCCAAACAATTATGGTAAATGAGTTCACTTTGGGGTGTCTATTTTCCAAATAAAGGGGTAATTTCTGGGGTTTTCATACTAACAAGGAATATATAAAAATGTATATTTTAATTGTTTGTTTTTATCAGTTTACAAAATGCAAAGTGAGCGAACAGAAGAAAAACCTAAATCAAATCAATATTTAGTATCAGCTCTTACACTGTGTGCAAAGTCAGGGAATTTTGTAGGATTAGAGTCCAGTATATTTCAGGTCTAATCAATTGTATTAAGCAGGTGCTAACAATCAGCAATTTCATATGTAAGTTGATACACAGTCATTAAAGCGGAGTTCCACCCAAAAGGGGAAGTTCCGCTTTAAAGATTGGTCCCCCACTCCCCATTAAGGGTTGGCACCTTTGGGGAGCGGGGGGGGGGGGGGGGGAGGGGGGAATGGGTACCTGAATTTGACAGGTACCCGCTCCCACTTCCACTGCGATCACCTAGGTGTTCGGAAACGGAAGTTGTCCTCCTACCCTCCCTCCCCGAAGTCTTGTGGGACACATGACAGGTCCCAGAAGATGACGGGGCCATTCAGGAAAGTGCAGTGCTACTTGTGCATCCGCAAGCTGTCACAGCCAGATGCCCACACCGAAGATGCCGGTGAAACGGGCTGCAGCGGGGGCAACGTGGGATTGTGGGACAGGGGAGTGGCTGTTTTTTTAAAAGTCAGCAGCTACAGTATTTGTAGCTGCTGACTTTTATTTTTTTGCAGAGTGAGTGGAATTCTGCTTTAACTGAAACAGAAATAGCTGTGTAGGAGGTTGAAAACTGGATGAGGAACAGCCAAACTCTGCTACCGCGATGAGGTTGTGGAAGACAGTGTCATGTCACAGGTCTTACACCATGGCAAGACTGGGCGCAGCAACAAGACACAAGGTAGATGTACTTCCTCAGCAAGGTCTCTCCCAGGCAAAGATTTCAAAGCAGACTGGGGTTTCAAAATGTGCTGTTCAGGCTCTTTTGAAGAAGCACAAAGAAACGAGTAATGCTAAGGACCGTAGATGCAGTGGTCAGCAAAGGAAACTTAAAGCGTAGCTCCACCCAAAAGGGCAAGTTCTGCTTTAAGCCTTTGTCCTCCGCTCCCCCTTAAGGATTGGCACCTTTTGGGGAGCAGGTACCTGAATTTGACAGGTACCCACTCTCACTTTTGCTGCTATCACCTAAGGCGATCAGAAGCGGACGCTGTCCTTCCCCCTTTCCTTCCCCGTAGTCTTCTGGGACTTGTGACAGGTCCCAGAAGATTACGGGACCATCCACAAAGCGCAGTGCTACTCAAACATGTGCAGTGAGTATTGAGTAAATACATTTACATTTTTGTTTATATGTGTGTGTGTGTGTGTGTATATATATATAATATTTTACATTTTTTTCCAAATGTATTGGGATGCCGCATCCCAGTGTTAGTCCGTAGGGTTTAATATTGAGTTGGCCCCGCCCTTTGCAGCTATAACAGCTTCAACTCTTCTGGGTAGGCCGTCCACAAGGTTTAGGAGGGTGTCTATGGGAAGGTTGGACCATTCTTCCAGAAGCACATTTGTGAGGTCAGGCACTGATGTCGGGGGAGGAGGCCTGGCTCACAGTCTCCACTCTAATTCATCCTAAAGGTGTTCTATGGGGTTGAGGTCAGGACTCTGTGCAGGACAGTCAAGTTCCTCCACCCCAAACTCACTCATCCATGTTTTTATGGACTTTGCTCTGTGCACTGCTGCGCAGTCATGTTGAAACAGGAAGGGGCCATCCCCAAACTCTTCCCACAAAGTTGGAAGCATGAAATTGTCCAAAATGTCTTGGTATGCTGACGCCTTAAAAGTGCCTTTCACTGGAACTAGGGGGCCAAGCTCAACCCCTAAAAAACAACCCCACACCATAATCCCCCCTTCACCAAACTTTACACTTGGTGTGCTTTACACCACAGCATCCGACGCTTTGCATTGCACTTGGTGATGTAAGGCTTGGATGCAGCTGCTCAGCCATGGAAACCCATTCCATGAAGCTCTCTACACACTGTTGTGCTAATCTGAAGGCCACACCAAGTTTGGAGGTCTTTAGCTATTGACTCTGCAGACAGTTGGTGACTTCTGCGCACTGTGCGCTTCAGCATGCGCTGACCCTGCTCTGTCATGTGACGTGGCCTACCACTTGGTGGCTGAGTGGCTGTTGTTCCCAGTTGCTTCCACTTTGTTATAATCCCACTAACAGTTGAGCGTGGAATATTTAGTAGCCAGGAAATGTCACGGATGGACTTATTGCACAGGTGACAACCTATCACGGGACCACGCTTGGAGTCACTGAGCTCCTGAGAGCGACCCATTCTTTCACCAATGTTTGTAGAAGCAGTCTGCATGCCTAGGGGCTTGATTGTATACACCTGTGTCCATGGAGGGGATTGGTACACCTGAATCTAATGATTGGGAGGGCGGGCCCAATACTTTTGGCAATGTAGTGTATTTACACACACCAGTCCCTGTCATCCAGAAGGCAAAGTAATTTATTTGGCATAATTCTGCATTTATAGTGATAGAGTATAACTGGAGACCACTGCTTAGGTAGAGCAGATCCTGAGAATTCAGAACATTCACTTTCTTTTAGGACTCGCTGAAAAAACGATCGCAGAGACGGCCATCTGCAACTAATCCTTCAGCGCAGACAAAAAATGATCCCCAGAAGAATGAGCTCATTGGGAAGATGGAAGAGCCCCTGAGTGATGGTCCTTCAAACCCAGCACTGCAACTGGGGAAAGAATTTTCTGCTAAACTGCTGGGCTGTCCTCCGCCTAGAAACCCGGCTTTGAGCTCCACCACTAAGCAGGATGAGCAGCCCAGAAGTGGACCAGAGACTGCGGACAGCACTAGAGATGCCTATCTTAGCTTCAAACAAAAGTTTTCTTTAGAAGCAGAGCAAGAGAAGCAGCAAAGGCCACAAAGAAAGAGTGAACCGTCCTCAAAAAGGTCAGTCTACAAGATTTAGAAGATTTCATCCAAAACAAATGTTAAAGCCCAATTGACATACCACACATTTTATCTCCACTTCTGATGATTTGTGATTGGTATGTTCAAAATGTTGGTATGATTGGTATGTTCAAAATGTTTTAAAATAATTTTCAATGAAAATACAGATTCCTGCTCTCCCCTTTACCCTAGGTTCACATCTGTGCGAGAGGTGCCGCTGCGGATCTGCACAAAAATTCGTGCAACCGCACCACCCACACATAGAATTGTGGACCCACGGGCGGGTGCCATTAATTCTAATGGCACGACACCCACACTGGAAAACGCAAACGTATTGGGAACCGAGGTTCCCGTGCGGGCTGCGTTTTCCAAAGAAGTGCAGGGACTTCTTCCCTGCGTGTCATGGGCACGGGAGTCCATTCAAATGAATGGGCTGTCGTGCCCGTGCAATATGCGGCCCGTACGGCCACAGAGATGTGAACCATGCTTTTTGTTTACAGAGTTCAGTAACAGCCACACCCCTCATTGCTCCTGTCCTCACACAGACTTGTATTTTAGAAGCCTGTCTGCCTGTTAGGCAGGCCATAGGCCCCTTTTACACAAGTGGACCAATGGGGTCTGCCTGTCTGTTTTTGAGGCGGACCCTATCGGTCCACCCATAGACTTCTATGTACCGGCATCTGATCCTGTATGCCAAAAACAGGTGGATGGGGATCCGTTCCCAATCCGTCCAGCGGATCAGATGACAGTCGGATGGAAACTGACAGGTGGTCCGTTTCCATCCGACCATTCCATTGAAATCAGCGGGCAGTGTCACCTGTCATCTGCCTGCTCAGCTGGGATCAGCAGAGAGATCCCCCGCTGAGCAGGCAGATCATGCTGATGGATCCGCAACGTGTGAAAGAGGCCATAGACAATGTAGTTTTTTTTTTTTCCCTCCAACCACCAGTAAAAGAACATTGCTTGATTCCCCCATCAACACTGACTGAATCCCTCCCACAGAACTATTGTGTTCTTCCAGCAGCAGAAGTTAGTGATTTTTGCTAGCGACAAGCTGGTTGTACGCAAGTCGTTCAACAATTAAATTGGGTACAACCAGCCTGCCAATGGATGGTTCAGGTCTTGGCCAGTTTCTGCTGAACCGGCTTACATTCGAACCGACTATGGCTGGCATTAGGGCAATGATTTTCTGACTAGATATCCATTTCAACTTCCTCCCAATGGCAGCCCTGACCTAGAGATTGCTACCTCTCCCACCCCTAACCTCTTAATTCTTTCTCTTTTATGGAGGCAGAAGCAACCCCAGAAATCCCTAAACTAGGGAAATCAACGTCCATTATTAGTCAAAGCATATCTCTGTTGATGATCCTGAGAGTGGAGGACTGTAGAAGCAGTAGAGGGTCAGGGTCACCAGGCACACAGAGCCTCTCTTATTATTTCTTTATTATCTTTTCAGTGTCGACAATTTACACAGCACTGTACATTCACATCAGTCCCTATCCATAAGGAGCTTACAATCTACAGTTGCAAGAAAAAGTATGTGAACCCCTTGGGATTACGTGGAGTTTTGCATGAATTGGGCATAAAATGTGCTCTGAACGTCATCTAAGTCACAACAATAGAAGAACACAGTCTGCTGAACATAATACTACACAAACATTAGATGTTGCCATGGTTTAATTGCACATAACATGTAAACATTCACAGTGCAGGGAGGAAAAAAGTATGTGAACCTTTGGACTTAATAACTGGTTGACCCTCCTTTGGCAGCAATAACCTCAACCAAACGTTTCCTGTAGTTGCAGATCAGACCTGCACAACGATCTGGAGTCATTTTGGACCACTCCTCTTCACAAAACTGTTTCAGTGTAGCAATATTCTTGGGATGTCTGGTGTGAATCGCTCTCTTAATGTCATGCCACAGCATTTCAATCAGGGTTGAGGTCAGGACTCTGACTGGGCCACTCCAGAAGGTGTATTCTGTGCTGTTGCAGCCATTGTTTTGTTGAATTACTTGTATGCTTTGGGTCATTGTCCTGTTGCATCACCCATCCTCTGCGGAGCTTCAGTTGGCGGACAGATGGTCGTACGTTTTCCTGCAAAATGTCTTGATAAACTCTGGAATTTTCCCATCAATGACAACAATCCGTCCAGGCCCTGAGGCAGCAAAGCAGCCCCAAACCATGATGCTCCCTCCGCCATGTTTCACAGTGGGGATGAGGTTTTGATGTTGGTGTGCTGTGCCTTTTTTTCTCCACACATAGTGTTGTGTGTTCTTCCCAAACAACTCAATCTTGGTTTCATCTGTCCACAGTATATTCTGCCAGTAGTGCTGTGGAACATCCAGGTGCTCTTTTGCAGACTTCAAACGTGCTGCAATATTCTTGTTGGACAGCAATGGCTTCCTCCGTGGTGTCCTCCCATGTACTCCATTCTTGTTTAATGTTTTCCTTATTGTAGATGTGTCAACAAAAATGTTAGCATGTGCCAGAGATTTCTGTAGGTCTTTAGCTGACACTCTGGGATTCTTCTTTACCTCATGCAGCATTCTGCGCTGTGCTCTTGCAGTCATTTTTACAGGACGACCACGCCTAGGGAGAGTAGCAACAGTGCTAAACTTTCTCCATTTGTAGACAGTCTGTCTTACCGTGGACACATGAACATCAAGGCTTTTGGAGATACTTTTGTAACCCTTTCCAGCTTCATGCAAGTCAACAATTCTTGATCGTAGGTCTTCTGAGAGCTCTTTTCTGTGAGGCATGGTTCACATCAGACAGTGCTTCTTGAAGCCAGTAAACCCAAAACAGGTGTGTGTTTTTTAAGGGCAGGACAGCTGTCAGCAACACATCCAATATCATCACACTGATTGGAGTCAAGGTTGGCTCACTCCTGGCTCCAATTAGCTCTGGGAGAAGTCATTAAGCTAGGGCCTCACATACTTTTTCCTCCCTGCACTGTGAATGTTTACATGTTATGTTCAATTAAACCATGGCAACATCTAATGTTTGTGTAGTATTATTTTCAGCAGACTGTGTTCTTCTATTGTTGTGACTTAGATGACGTTCAGAGCACATTTTATGCCCAATTCATGCAAAACTCCACGTAATCCCAAGGGGTTCACATACTTTTTCTTGCAACTGTATGTATACACACACCTACTAGGGCCAGTTTTAGACAGGAGCCAGTTACCTTACCAGCATGCCTTTGGAGTGTGGGATGAGACCAAAGTACCCAGGAAAACCCACAAAAGCACAGGGAAAACATGCAAACTCCATGCAGATAGTGTCCAGGATTGAAACCATGGACCCAAGTGCTGCAAGGCAGACATGCTTATTGCTAAGAACTCCTCCACTATTTGGTTCCCCATTGATGGCTCCAGGATCCAGGATATGCAGGAAGACCTACCAGAAAGTCAAGCCTTCCTTCCTGTGTTGGAAATGCACGAGAACGGTACCCGAAGATGCTGCAGATCGTGCTGGCATGACATCACCTCTGATTTTCAAGCACATTAGATTCGGAGGACGTTGGACTGAAAATATGAGTCTTCAATTGGACCTTAAGATAATGTTTCTTTCAAGCTACAGTATGTAATCATATAGGCACATGGGGGGCAGCCATATTGGCTCATTACATAAAGGTTCTTCATCCTCCTTTTTTGTGCTACACAGTGATTGTGCCTTGTGGATTCTCTTTTCTTACTGCAAATCTACCATAATGACCTTTGCTGTATTTGTAGTCTGTGATTATTTGGTAGTGGAATATAACATCTGGCCTTACTGCTCTACTTACAGAAAGACGACAGGATCTGTTGTGAATGACAAAGGCAGCCACATGAACGATATGAAGCTAGGTAAACTCCTTCAGTCTTTTGTGTTTATTATTTTATTTATTTCAGGTACTTATATAGCGCTGTGTACTATTGTACATTCACATCAGTCCCTAACCCTCAAGGGGCGTACAATCTAAGGTCCCTAACCCTCAAGGGGCGTACAATCTAAGGTCCCTAACCCTCAAGGGGTGTACAATCTAAGGTCCCTAACCCTCAAGGGGCGTACAATCTAGGTCCCTCAAGGGGTGTACAATCTAAGGTCCCTAACCCTCAAGGGGTGTACAATCTAAGGTCCCTAACCCTCAAGGGGTGTACAATCTAAGGTCCCTAACCCTCAAGGTGCGTACAATCTAAGGTCCCTAACCCTCAAGGGGCGTACAATCTAAGGTCCCTAACCCTCAAGGGGCGTACAATCTAAGGTCCCTAACCCTCAAGGGGCGTACAATCTAAGGTCCCTAACCCTCAAGGGGCGTACAATCTAAGGTCCCTAACCCTCAAGGGGCGTACAATCTAAGGTCCCTAACCCTCAAGGGGCGTACAATCTAAGGTCCCTAACCCTCAAGGGGCGTACAATCTAAGGTCCCTAACTCACATTCATACATACACATACTAGGGACAATTTAGACAGGAGCCAATTAACCTACCAGCATGTCTTTGGAGTGTGGGAGGAAACCGGAGTACCCATAGGAAACCCATGCAGACACAGGGAGAACATGCAAACTCCAGGCATGTGGTGCCGTGGTTGGTACTCGAACCACTGACCCTAGTACTGCCAAGCGGAAGTGCTAACCACTTAGCCACTGTGCTGCCCATATTTTGTATACTCAAGTGTCAGCCTTGCTGTATAAGTATTACACTTCTATCCCATGGAAGTTTGAATTAAGGTATTTGTGTATTGAAGAAAAAAAAAAAAAAATTTTAAAGCAGAACTCCATTTTTGGATTTTTTTTTTTACTTATCTTTGCTGCAGAGGGGGTCCTGACTCCGCCTCTCTTTTTTCTGTGCATTACAGCTCTACATGCAGGGCATCTTTGTGTATCCTTCCCTTGCAACAGCTTTGGGGGGACTTCTTACTGCTTGACATTGAGCCAAAATATCAGTTTCCAGTCATTGCCAGCTGTCATTTTAAGGGCTCATGTACACTGCAGCTCCTAAACTGATGTTCAGGAGCTGTTCAGCATTTTTTTTTTTCCAGCAGCCCCTGAACTCTCCCTAATGTTCTCCTATGTTTCCGTGTACACATCGTCATTTACAGTCCTTTACAGGCAGTTGAGTTTTTACTGTTGTTTTTTTGAACGCACCAAACCTGCATCCAAGAGTAGATTTGACCGGCGTTTCAAACGCGTGTAAACGCGGTTAAACGTGTTTATAAGCGTTTGCGTTTAAAAGCGTTTTTTAACTGTTCCATATCCAATGCTGTCCAGAGCCTTTTTTCATCATCAGAAATGCATGCAAAGCGTTTCCCATGTATTCAAATGGACCCGGTACACCAGCGCAGTCAGTTCCAGGTTTCACGTGCAGGATAAAATGGTAGAACGCGCCGCATTATGCTCATGATCCATAGTGAATACAACCAGAAAAGACAGGTCATCTCAACGCATACTGCTCTCTCTGCTTCTGCTCTCTCTATTCCTTTCAAAATGTCTGAAATGGTTAATTTTTTTACTATTTTTCAGTGCATTCTGGGCATTTGGGAAGGTCTCCTGAGGTTATCTTGTAAAATCACTTCTAAACGCAAACGCGCATAAACGCGACTAAACTGACATTTTTTAACCTACGTTTTCCAGCAGTTTCCATTGTTCAGAAGAGTTTTCCAAACGCCCCATGTACATGAGCCCTAAGGCTCACCCTCTATAGTTTTCAGTACTGCAGGGATGATGTAATGATGCAGGCAGCATTCTTTACTATTGGCTCACATAGCACAGTGGCCATGCTGATAGCTTGAAGGACACAGACTTCTGAGACATGTAGTCCATGCGTCCTACAACAAGAAGGAGGAGAATGGGCCTGATACTGACCGCTACATTACAATTCTGAAAAAAAAAAATGCATTTAGCTAAAAATTAAGATGATAAGATTGCCCAGGGGGTAGAGGAGGGCACTGGGGAAAGTTCTGCTTAAAGTTTGGGTTCATCCAAAACTTAATTTTGTAGTTTTTGTTAGCGTAAGGAAGGATTAGGACACTCTCGAGATCCAAAATGAAAAAAATAAAATGTTTTGACTAGACTTCCATTTTAAAATGATTTTAATGGGTTTTTTTTTGTTTTGTTTTTTTTAATAACAAATATGTTATACTTGTCTGCTCCTGTGTAAAGCTTTTGCACAGAGCAGCTCTCATCCTCCTCTTCTCAGGTCCCCCGCCCTTACTCCTGGCTCCTCATCTTCTCTCTGTGCCACCATAGGAAGCCGCTTCCTATGGTGGCACACGTGTGGGCTTGATCCTGAGCTGTGCTCTGTGTTTCCATTGATACACACAGTGCAGCTCGAGTCCCTCCTCCCCCTTGCTGCCTCTTTGCTGGATTTAATTGACAGCAGCAGGAGCCAGTGGCTCTTGCTGCTGCCTCTCTGTTCGTTGAGGAGAAAGAGAGCCACTGCTCTTGTGCACAGCGATGAATCGAGTTCGGGCTCAGGAAATTATTTGGGGGAAGCTGCACACAGAAGGTAGTATACACTGTCACTGTACTAATGACACTGGCTGGGAAGTAGTTAACATCTAGGACAGGGGTGGGCAAACTTTTTGACTTGAGGGCTGCAATGGGTTCATATATTGGACCCTGGGGCCGGACCAAGAGTAGATGAATGATGTGTATGTGTCATCCATAGTAAGTATAGTAATATTCCCCCATAGTAAGCATAGTAATTAATCCCCCATATAGTAATCATCCCCCATATAGTAATTCATCCCCCATATAGTAATTCATCCCCCATAGTAATTAATCCCCCATATAGTAATTCATCCCCCATAGTAATTCACCCCCCATATAGTAATTCATCCCCCCCATAGTAATTCATCCCCCATAGTAATTCATCCCCCATAGTAATTCATCCCCCGTATAGTAATTCATCCCCCGTTTAGTAATTCATCCCCCATAGTAATTCATCCCCCATATAGTAATTCATCCCCATATAGTAATTCATCCAACATAGTAATTCATCCCCCATATAGTAATTCATCCCCATATAGTAATTCATCCCCATAGTAATTCATCCCCCATATAGTAATTCATCCCCCATAGTAATTCATCCCCCATAGTAATCATCCCCCATATAGTAATTCATCCCCCATAGTAATTCACCCCCCCATAGTAATTCATCCCCCATAGTAATTAATCCCCCATATAGTAATTCATTCCCCATATTAATTCATCCCCCATATTAATTCATCCCCCCTATAGTAATTCATCCCCCATATTAATTCATCCCCCACAGTACTATTCCCCCCCAAGTAGTAAGCCAAGTCCCCCGTGTCAATTCACTTACCTTTGCTCCGCGCGTTCCTCTCGCCGTGTTCCCGCGCCGTTCCGGTCTTCAGGGCGGACTGTGAGAGGAGCCTAGCTCCCCTCACGTTCATCACGCTGCCCCGCCTACACACATCCTGACAGCCAATGTTTGCCTGCCCTGGCTGCGGGCCGGATTAAAAGGTCCGCCGGGCCGTATATGGCCCGCGGGCCGTAGTTTGCCCATTGCTGATCTAGGACGATAAGGGGTTATACATGTGCCTAACAATGTGTGTAAAATGTGCTTCCTTTACTAATTGTTCTCTAATTTTAACACTGCAAAGCACAGAGAGATTGTTCCCTCTGAATGTCAACACAGAGCTCTGGGCTGTGATTACACACAGCTGATCAGCAGGTCCCATGATGCATTAGCTGGGACTTGCTGACAGGGTCCCGCTGTGGGGGCGGATGTAAGTACCGGCATACGGGTGCGTTACTTTGCCTACGGTGGGTGGTCGTAGAGTGGTTATGGTAGAAAAACCTTCAGCCTTTACAACCTTTTTAACCACTTCCCGCCGCCCTATAGCAGAAATACTGCTGCATGGCTGTGCAAAATCACATTTATATACATGATTTTGCATTTCCAGGTAGGGCGCGCGCACCGCCCTACCCGCGTCACCATGGGCGGCTACAAATGCTGATCACCGGCACCTGGCGATTGCCAAGGAACAGCGACAGGGGAGAGGTCTGTGTGTAAACAACACAGATCTCTCACCTGTCAGCACCGACATGCTGCTTTTGTATTGCTCTGCACAGCAGAGCAATACAAAGCAGGAAGTTTACATAGTAAAACACACACAGCACACAGTTAACCCTTTGATCGCCTCAGATGTAAACCCCTTTCTGCCTAGTGTCATTTGTACAGTGTCAGTGCTTTTTATTAGCACTGATCACTGTATTAGTGTCACTGGGGATGTCAGTGGCAGTTAGTTCCCACCCAGTGTCAGAATGCCCGCCGCAGTCCCACTATAAGTCGCTGTTCGCCGCCATTACTAGTATTAAAAAAAAATTCCAGTATATATACCGCCATTTGTAAACGCTATAAAATCCGGTCTCCTGCCCTGCCAGACATAGCTGCACTCTGACAGAATTGTGTAAGCTGAAGCTGTTTGCCTTGATTTCAGCTTTTTTGTTGGTTGCCTTTAAGAATTTTTAGCATGAATTATAGTTTCTTATTTGTTCTTTTGTCTCTTTTTAGATGATGTTGAAGAGGATTTATTGGCAGACGATACTATAGGAATTTCAGAGGTCATCACACGGAATAAAGTTCAGGTGGAAGGAAGACCTCTTGATTTGCAGCAAGCTGTGGTAATCATATAACTAAACAGACAGGCTTCTATAAAAAGAATCTTGACAAGAAAAAAAATAAAAACTGACAGGCGTATGCCTCAAAGCCCTGGTGCGTAACCTGTAGCCCGTAGGCCAAATGCGGGCCCTTGGTATATGATGTGTGGCCCTCGGACCTCAGCAGTTTGTAGTAGGAACGTTGAGGGTAATAGCCTTGATCTCTACCAGCCTCATGTAACATGTCCTCAGCCTTGTATTGTCTTCTGCAGCATATCCCCCCAGCCAACAATGTATCCTGTCCACACTCTCTGACCATCATATTTTCTATTCTGCAGTCTCCCACAGTCCTCTCAAGCATTACATATTCTGAACATTATGTGCGGCCCTTTGGTGATGTCAGAAGCTGCAGTTGAGGCCCCCCCATAGCTCATACGTTGTCAATCACTGGTCTAAGGCCTACACACAGCTGTAGATATATTGTAAATGTTATATGTACTTAAAGCGGAGTTCCGCCCAAAAGTGGAAGTTCCACTTGTTTGGCTCCTCCCACCCATCCTGCCATATTTGGCAACTGTTGGGTGGAGCAGGGGGGTGTGGACCTGGTTTTGACAGGTACCCGCTCCCACTTCCGGCTCAGTTCGCCGCGACAAAGTGAGCCGGAAGTTCAGCCTCCTCCTTCCTCCTGCAGTCTTCTGGGAACTTTCACAGGTCCCAGAAGACCGCTGAACCAATCAGGAGGCGCAGCACGACTCGCACATGAGCAGTGGGCACCAGGCTGTGAAGATGCAAGCAGTCACAGTTTGGTTCCCACAGTTGAGATGCCGGCTCCGTGGAGGACAGAAGGAGAGAAGGGACGGCGCGGGTGAGAACATCGCTGGACCCCGGGACAGGAAAGTGTGTGTTTTTTAAAAGTCAGCAGATACAGTTTTTGTAGCGGCTGACCTTTTAATAGACACAAAAACGTCTGGAACTCCACTTTACCATACTAAATACATACAATATATAGACTACAATATATGGACAGTAATCACAGAGCGCTAATATGCAATAAAGTAGAACTTCAGCATATTTTTTTTTCTATGACCCCCCCTTCCAATATGAAGAAAAAAAAAAAATAAAATATATATATATATGGGTTGGACAAAAAAATGGAAACACTACATAATTTGCATGTGTGAAAGTGACAACGTTTCACATTGAAAGCAGAAGTGATGTAACATTCTTTTTCACTGTGTGATGAGACACCTAGCTAACAGGTGGGAAGCCACGCTTTCCTCATTCACTGCATGTGCTGCTAGTAATACAGAGTCCTGTCAGAGTTGCTGAGCTTCAAAGAGGGCAAATTGTTGGTGCCGCTTAGCTGGTGCCTCAGGGACTGAAGTTGCCAATTTATTTTCCGTGTCGCCAGGTTCAGTATCAAAGGTTATGACGGCATATACAGTTTCCGAGAAAACGATGTCCGATAACCATGAGCGCAGTCGACATGCAGGATTGGTGACCCATAATAAGAAAAGAACTGCTGCAAAAATGACTGCAGAGCTCAATCTCAGTCTTCATGGGGATGAGTGTCTGGTGTCATAAACTGATCACATGTGCAGCACAATGGCAGTTGTAGATCTATCTGAAATAGCTCCTTGGCTGTACAGGATTGGAGGGTTTAATTCCGCTTTAAGTCTGTCAGCAGATCGGCCTCTACAAATTCATTAGTACCTAAAAAATGGAGAGCAACTGAGCATGTGCAGAGCAGGGTAAGACAGTGGGATTTATTTTCTAAAGCTGTAAAGTGCAAAATCAGCCTCACGTCTGCATAGAAACCAATTGGAGTCTAACATCAGCTTGTTCAATGAAGCTTTGGCAATAAAAAATAGAATCTGATTGGTTTCTGTGCAGAAGTGAGCCTAATTTTGCACTCTCCAGCTTTAGTAATTAAACCCCAGTGTATTATTGGATTTTAAAAACCGTATAGACACTAATTTTTAATGTTTTACAGAGTATTCCTGAAATTAGGGCCAGCCTGACGTGATCCAGCAAGACTTAAATTTCTGACTAAAATTCTACTTTAACCAGTTGCTGACCGCAGATAGCCGAATGATGGCTGCACTGCGGCCGGCCAGCTCTGGGAGGCCGTCATGTGATGTCCTCCCAGAACGCACTCTCACTGCACGCCCGGGAGTGTGCACCTAGGGATCTCCATGAATGCTGTATCCTATGGGCACAGCTGATCACGTGATGTGTGTAAAAGGCCAATCACAGCAGCCTTTTACCACGTGATCAGGCGTGTCCAATGACACGCTGATCACCAAGAAATGCAATTGCCAGTTCTCGGCTGCACTTTCCTCATGCTGTCAGAGCGTGATGAAAGTACTGACAAGAACCAGCATTGTCAGAGCAGGGATCGGCACCGATCATCAGGGCACTGATGATCCGTGCCCAGCAGTGCAACCCACCAGTGCCACCCAACTGTGCCCAGCAGTGCCACCCAACTGTGCCCATCAGTGCAGCCCAGCAGTGCTGCCAATCAGTGCCCAGCAGTGCCGCCAGTCAATGTCTCCTATCAGTGCTAACTATCAGTACCCTTCATCAGTGCTGCCTATCAGTGCTGACTATCAGTACCCATCATCAGTGCTGCCTATCCGTGCCACCTCATTAGTGCTGGCTATCTGTGCCACCTTATTAGTGCTGCCTATCAGTGCCGCTTATCAGTGCTGCCTATCAGTGCCACCTCATTAGTGCTGCCTATCAGTGCCGTCTATCAGTGCAAGCCTCATCAACTCATATCAGTGAAGGAGAAAAATTACCTGTTCACAAAATTTTATAATAGAAACAAAGAAACTTTTTTTTTTTAATTTTTTGCTCTTTTTTTGTTTATAGCGCAAAAAATAAAACGCTCAGCGCTGAGTAAATACCACCAAAAGAAAGCTCTATTTGTGAGAAAAAATGATAAAAATGTAATGAGTACAATGTTGCATGACCGCGCAATTGTCATTCAAAGTGCGACAGCGCTGGAAGCTGAAAATTGGCCTGGGCAGGAAGGGGGTATAAGTGTCTGGTAGGCAAGTAGTTAACATTACCGAATTCTGCATTGTAGGAGCTAAAAAATCTGC